TCGTCGTTCCGTCTTTGAAAGATTGAACTTAGAAAAAAGATAATTTTGAAGAAATGAAAGAAATTGAAATTTCATCACCTCACTTCTCTGCATAGAGTTCTTAATCAGCTATCTATAAATGATTTGTGACCTTGATTCTTGATTTTTCACAGTGAAGATTGTTCGTTAGTGAGACTTAGCTAGCTTTGATCGTTTTCTTGGATGTCATCATGTATTTGACGAAATTCAATTGAAATGTGTAAGAATTAGTCGGAGTCAGTGGAAGATTCGGCATTTTTAACTGGTAAAACTTAGATGGATTGCCATTTTTAATTAACTTACACCAAGAACATTTAGAACATGTGATCGTGTCATAATAGACAACAGCGTGAATCTTTGATGAAAAAATGAAAATGATATTTGTTGAGATTTAAATAGTGTCTAATATACTTTAGCTAGTGGTCGACTTTTTAATTTAAAACAAAACAATTCTAGATCTTTCAAGATTTGGGAAAATTTTACGTCCAAAAAAGAGGCCAAATTCTTGTCATGCTGGAGGAAAGTATCTTTTTCGAAAGATCATGAATTTTTTTTGTTGAGTATTGAAAATTAATATTTCTATGAAAATACAGTGTTTTTGATAGGAAATAAGTCGTATCCATGTGCTCAATAGATTTTACGTACTGTGTGAATTTAATAAGAACCAACTTCATTTATATGAAAAATCAGAAAACCAAAAGCATATGACAAATATCGAGTTAGATCGATTCTGGAGAAAATTTCTTTCACAGTGTTTTTGTTCTCTTCGATATATTAATCGATATGATCCAATAAGATTAGTCATATCTGTTCTACTTAATTTTACAGTTGAATTTTACTCAGCTTAATGAATCATTACGTAAACAGTTTCTATTCAATTATATAATTTTTTTTTCTTCTTTTTTAATTGCACATAAACAAACTATACAAAAAAATAATAATAATTCGAATAAACTATGTTTGTTTTTCATCATCATCTTCGTTTAAATATTTGTGCCATTCATCAATTCTTTCCTTTTGAAATTCTTCTGGTTCTGCTACATCATATTTTGTTGAGCCTAAAAAAAAGAGAACGAAAAACTTCGTTCGATTTTTAACATAAAAAATAAACTCTCATACCATCCCAAGTTTGACATTGAATAACTCTTCCATGCCAAATTCTACCATTCATATATTGACAACATGCATCAGCTTGATCAATATCCGTAAAGCCAACAGTCGCAACACCGTCTGAATTTCCCTTTTAAATAAAATAAAAACAATCAATTAAATTTTCATTTAAAATAAATTTAAATATAAATATTTACATCATAAATATTTATTTTTTTAACTTCTCCATATTCACTACAAGATTCTCGAATATTATTTCGTAATCTATCAATAAACAATGGATCATGCTAAATAAAAAAAAAAAATAGAAACTTTTTATAAACATAGAAATAGATAGTCTTTCAAAAGTTTGCCGAAAAATAGAACTTGAAGAACTGTTTAGTATAATTCAATCGCTTTACATATTTATTGTATCACATAATTTCATACTTATCAAAGTTTCATTTCTGATAAAATGTCTATATCTATGAGCATTAGAATACAAATTATTTTATAAATGGTCATATTTATATCATCTATGATTGTGAAATGTAAGTGGCTAGTCGAATTTCGAAAAGAAACGTCAAATATTAATGGTATTAAAGAGTTCTGTGAATGTTTTTATCAAACTGATATTGTAGCGAATCGAACACCTTCAAAACATTGTAGAGTAACGGCATAAGAAACAGTCACTGAAGTTCATATTGATAGTGAAAGTCTATTAGCATCAATTTGTCTGACTGTTTCTAAAGTTTGATCAATAGTATATTGAATCGTGATTGAGCTCAGTAAATAATTCAACAAAATAAAATGTTCACTTATCGAGATATCGAATATTCAAGTAAACTCGATTTTTTTGACCTTCTATGATAAACGACTACTTGTTAGAAATTAAATATTTCGACAAAGGAACATGCATTTCGGTTGAAACTTTCAAGATATTTCAAGACTCATTAAGTCTATCTATAAGCAAAAATGTAAGTCGAATATCTGTTATTTGATTTTCTAGTAAATATCTTAAAATTGACCGAAAATTTAGTAAAATAGTCAATAATATGAGCTGAAAAGCAGAACTAAAGTTAGAATAATTCCCTTATTAGCATTATTCAACTCTTTTCTGTGAGAAGATATTCAAATAACTATAATCGATGTCTAGTTTTCAAATATATGAAAGTTATACGCTAACATGTTTCAGTTCAGTATGCTTATTTCAAACAATAGGTATAAATTATGTGAAACAAAATTTTAGAAAATGTTTAATAAAATTCTAGAAAGCTCAAAAATTATTTATGTTCATTTTTTTATTCGGCAAACTTTTCGAACATATTGTAAATAGATATAATTACTTTAAATTGTTGTAAATCAAACATATTTTTCATAACAACAATTCTTTCATATTTATGTCTAATAATTTCTGGACGTTCATCCCAATTAAGTAATTTATCTACTTCAAGTTGTTTTTTCTTTTTATCCATTTTTTTTCTTTTACGTTTTAAATCTGGATTAAATGTTCCTTTAACTTCAAATTTTGCACGTTCAACATGAATTTTTGATGAACGTAATTCTGTTTCATCAAGTATATCAATACATAATTTAACAGATTCAGGCTAAAATTAATTAAATAGTTATATATTAAAATAAATAAAATTATTAAAGAAAAGAACATACTCTTAAATATCGACATCTTCCATCACCTTTTGGATTTCCTTGTTCATCTCTATATAAACGAATTTTTTTCTTTCGTAGATCATTTGGATCCGGTGAAATAATTCCATATTTTGACATGAGTTCTTCAAATTCTTCATCAGTCATATCGAGTGGAAGGCCACTTACATAAACATTACAATTTTTTTCATCTGGTAATTCAAACCAACCTAAAAATAATAATAATTCTCATATCTCCAAAATTATGTATTTTTTATCATTACAAAAGACTTATATTAGAAAGAATAAAAACATTAAGATTTTATGCATACAATGAATCAGAGATAATTGAAAGAACAATCATTGATGATATTTCTATCATTCAGAAAACACCATTATTTATTTTTATACATCATTTTCAATGTAAGCATATATATAAACTGTTATAAATAATAAGATGAAAGTGATTGGATTTAGGATCGAACTATCGTCTAATGTTATTGAGAAGATTTAACCATATGAACTACTTTATAGAATAATTTATCGAAAATACAAGAAAAGAAATATCTTTAATCTATTGAGCAATATATTATTTAATATTGTATCATCAATTTGACGATACTCGATAAATAACATTATCTCCGTCGTTAACTTCGACAAAGTTATTTATTGTTTTATTTTATTACTATAATGATGTATATATCACTGTGAACATATCCTTGTAAAGCATTACATAAAAGAAATGAAACCGATAAATATATCATTAAGGTCATCACCTCTAACAAATAAAGCATACAACGACGAGAAGAAGGAAACCAACCGTAACGATCATTTTTTTTTATTTTCATCTGACTAATTTTTAATGTAGATATAAATAAATGAAAATATCTATTCTATCCAATGTTTTGGTGAAAGATTCATTGAACACTATCGTTCTAGAGAGAAAATATCGTCAACAACTATACGCTATTTCATTTTATATTTAGACTAAGAACTGGTACTACCTGATTACGCTCTTAAGGGAAGAAAGTGTTACTAAGGCGTTTGTCACGAACTGTGTGAGAGGAAAATCTATACTTCAACAGCCTTTTTAGATCAAAAAACAAACCTTCAGTTGGTTTCTTCTTTGTATCTTGTGTTTGTGGTGGAACTATTGGTTTTTGTTCTTTTGTTAAATTATGTTCATCTTCAATAGGTTCAATACCTTCATTATCCCAACTATTTGTTTGATTATTCCATTTATATTTAATTCTTGTTATATGATCAGTATAAGCATCAACAGTTGATAAAAGTACCCATTTAAGTTGATCATTTAACCAAACATATGTTTGTTGTTTTCCTTCTGGATCATTTGCTGAATATGTACTAACATCAGGTATCCATGTATTATGTTTTTTTGAAAATGTATATTTAATATTATTTGTTTTATCAGTATATGATTGTAATGGAATCCATTGTTGTGTCTCTTTATCTAATTTATATGTCATACCATCACGTTCTTGAATATATGTTTGATGATGAACATCATATCGTATACCTGATGAAGATTCAAGACCATAATTCATATGATGTTCTACTAAAAACTCTTCTGATACCTTTGAAAATCAATTTAAAAAAAAAGTCAATTTGAAAAAAAGAAAAAAAAACTTTAAATTTACTTTTGGAAACCTAAAAAATACAAAAAGATAATATAAAAAAATAAAAATAAATGTATTAAATTTACCATCCTTTAACGTTTGGATCCCATTCATAAACGGTACCATCCGGATCAACTCGTGTTTTCGTTTTTTCTGCTTCATTTTGTAATTTTTTTGTTTCTTCTAAACGAATTTGTCGATTAAATTCATCTTCATCGTCATCATCATCATCATCATCATAAGTAGTTGGACGACTAACACGTTGATAAACAACATTGCCTTTTTTCTTTTTAACTGTTGTTATTTGATTAATACGTTCTTCATCATCTGATGAACCAGTTTCGTGTTCAGACATCTAAAAAAAAAGAAACAAGAAAAAAATTCAAAATTTGAATAACTATTAAAAAAAAAAAGTTAGTATAGTGGAATGTTAAGAAAAAAACAAATTCGTCTTTTTTTCTGTTTTGATTTAAACTAAAGAAACGAGACTCGGTGGTACCCAACCACCCATAGCTTGTTCAATTTCTTGTGCAACAGCTAATGTTAATTGATCATGTCCACGAGCAGCAACACATTGAATACCTAATGGTAATTGTTGACTATCTAAACCTAATGGACATTGTGTTGATGGTAAACCTAATGCATTTATAATTCCACAATAAATATAATCAAATGTATTCATTAAAACAGGCCAACCATGTACAGGTGCTGATTGTGGAAATGTTGGAAAAAATAATATTCCATTATCACCTAATAATATTTGAATTTCATCATAAAATTTATGTGCTAATTTATGAAAATATTCATTATATTTATTTGGTATTGCTTCTAATATAACAAGACCTATTGCTGGTAATGTATGTGTTGAACGAAATAAAAATTTTTTTAATAATTCATGATAACCATTTATATATGATGTACGATTACAAAGTGTCAAAGAAAAATCACGTGTTGACATTTGACCATCAACCATCATTGATGACCAAAGAGAAACAGCATAACGAAGACGATTTAAACGTAAACGTGTTACATGAACTTTATATTTATTTTCAAAATGTTCAACAACCTATTAAATATAATATTTGATTTATTTATTAAGTTTTTTCATGAAGAATTTTACTCGTCGATGGGCTAATTTTTGATCTCGATCAACTTTATTAATAAAATAAGCATCGATTTCATCGATATAAAAATAACGTAATTTACTTAAATCAACCTAAAAATAAAAACAACAAGATAAATATATTCAATAATTATTGTTAAATAAGTTATTTTAGTAATTTCTTATGATTATTTTACTAACATATTTATTTTATTTAATCTTATTTTTTGTTTATTTAACTGTTATATTAATTTAATGCATACATTTATTTCATCGATAAGTAAATCTACGAAGCTAAGTAAAAGAAAAAGAACTTTCTACAAATCTTTATTTGATTATTATACAGAACATAGACCAATGGACGTTATTCTAAACGAACTACGAAACAATCGCATTCGGTTTTTTCTGGCTTTAATTCTCAGTTGTTGATTGAGACATGCATCGGAGGCAACTTAACGTCTCACTCATCAATCAAATTTAACAAAGGAAGGTTTTTTTATTGTAAGTTTTATTCTTTGGTATAGTCTATACGAACTGATGTCTTATCGGACTTCGCTTAATGTCTCGCTGAGGTCTATGCCTATGAAAACAAGTCGGAATCAAGGTTGACCTTTGACTTTGTAAAGCGCTGAAGAGACGTGAATTCCTCAATATTTTAAGGGATTTAAGCGTTTTTTTTACAGTTTGATCACATATTCATTACGATTACAAAACGAAATCTGTAAATCAAATTTGGAAACAGCACGCCAACTGAAATCTGTATTAGAGCCTTATTTTAGCAATATTGTGAAATTGATTCTGTTGAAAATGGATTACTGAAGAACTAAAATCAACGATATGTAAAAAAAAGAGTCAGGATGAAATACTCGATCTATAACACAATCTTTCTCATAATGACAAACAACAACAAACCGAATTATGACGAAAATATCTCTTATTTAAGTACAATTATGTCAATATTTCTTTTTGTTGCTAAGCTGTGCAAATAATGAAAAATTTCGACTAAAAATTTGAAGAGAAATCTTTCGATGATTTTTATAAATAAATCCATATAACTACTTACTGAAACATCAAAATGTAATAATCGTTCAATATTGTGTGAACCTGCCAATACTTTAAGCATTGGTTGTAAATCACATGCATAACGACACATTGGTCCTGTGGATAATAAATATTTTTGATGATGTTCTTTATGTGGAGGATATTGACCATCATTTGGCACAATATCTATTCATAAATAAAAACATTTGTTTTTATTTTTTCTAAATGCTAAAAATAAGAATTTTTTTTATTAAATACCAGGTGTTGTCTTATGACCAAATATTCCATTCATAAATGAAGGTAATCTAATACTTCCACCAATATCTGCTCCGATAGCAAATGGAACACCAGCTGCTGAAACAATACAACCAGCTCCACCTGAACTACCACCAACAATTCGTGTTAAATCATATGGATTATTTGTTGTACCATAAAGAGAATTTCGTCTTGAACAATAAAAAAAAAAAATACATATTGTCTCAATTTGAATAAACTTACGATTCAAACCACATACATCCTTCACTAACATTTGTATTACATAAAAGAATAGCACCTGATTTTAACATATGAGCTACTGATGTTGCTGTTCGTGTTGATATAAAATCTTTTCTTGCAGCAATTCCTGTTGAATTATGAAACCCTGGAAATTCCATTGATTCTTTAATAGCAAATGGTACACCAAGAAATGGAGCTCGATCTTCAGTCCATTCATCTGGTAATGTTCTTTGTCTATTTACAACAGCATCTAATATACGATCAATTTCTTGTGCTTCAATTAATGCTTCAGAAAATCTTTCATCAATATAAACATTTAAATATGGATGAATAGCTCGAGTTCGTTCAATATAAATACGAACAACATCATAACATTTTACCTTACAAAAAAGTAAAATAAAATCATTAATTAAAATATTCCTTTTTTTGATATTTATTTACTTGTCTTTCTCGAATTCGTTTTGCAATTACAGTTGCTGGTAGAAGTAATATTTGATTTGTGATGGGTGGTAAACGAAATTTTTGATTTCCATATATTAAACGAAAACCAAGTCGAATCCAGATCGAAAGAAAACAACGAATTAACCAGATTATAAATGAGATTATTTGAAGAGATTTCGCCATTTGATAAAATTTGTTTTTTTTTTTTAATAAAAATGACTGAACAAATATGAATTTCAAGCAATAAAATAAAGAAAATGTCAATGGACCATTTTTTAACCAATCTAAATCAAATTCAAAGTTTTGCTTGAATAATTTTATGTATAAATAATAATTGAACATTATTAATCATGATATTTAAATATTCAATAATAACAATCAATGTTATAATAGAAAACTTTTTCAAATAACTTAAGTTTTTTTAAAGACTACCTGTAGAGGGAGAATGTAACACACGATCAGTCAATTACTTGTCTCTTCTCTTGTTTATATATATGTACATTTACGATTTTTATCTAGGTCAACGATAGCTTTAACTGATTGGCTTCATTGACAGAGATGAACATTACAGAGTGAGGTTGTCATCGATCTGGGGCAACACATCTACACTTTATTGACAAATTATAATGTAAAATGAATGTTGAAAAAGCTGATGATCAAAAATACTATCACCCAATCACTAATATTGATAATTATGTCTAAAGTGATCTGGATATTTTTATTCAGATAATTGATTTTATGGATGAATTGATAACATTATACCTCTCATATCTTGTCTGTAGTCGAGGACAAAAGTTTAGCACAAGTATATTTTTGAGTTTTCTTCTCGATAGTAATAGCAAGCAAGAATCTGAGAGAATTCTCTATTAAGATTGGTGGACATAAAAACTTCGATAAGACTCTTCGAATGAGCATATCTGGAAAACTAAGACTTCCCTAAACCAGTATTCTGGTATTCAAGTGAAATTTTTTAGAAAAAGTTTTATTTGACTGAGCAAAATGATATATTTCGCGTCTCTTCATGCCTTTCCTTTATCGAACTCCATTCAATTTACAGGAGACTTTACAGAGTCAAACACGCAGAAATTATTGAATGCAATTCAGTCAACTGTTTCATCACTATCTATCATTTATGTGTGATCATGAGTTATTCAGTACTATAAAATGATCAATCACTATTGAATATGCACTATTCTAATGTACTAATGGAATAATATTCAAGAATTCTTTTTGCTGGTTTTAATTCTAAAACATTTTCATTCAATTTAAGAAAATATAAAAGACTAACTGTCACTCTTTTTTTGGAACCTCGATTTTTCATTGATCGAAATGTACTATGTAAACAAATTATTCTTGAATACTTTTTTGAAAAAACCAATTATCATGCAATAACATTTAGAAGGATCAAAAACTTATTTCAAATTTAAGTCTAGCACATCATTCTAGTGCGGTTTGGTGCGCATGCATATCAATCAAGTATGGCAAATCAACCTAATGGCTTAAAATCGAGCCAATCAGTATGAACAAAAAGAAAACTGTTGTTTTCTGGTTAGGATTTATTTTCAAATATTTTTACGGTTCTTGTTACTTTGCGATCTTTTTGATAACTAATTAAGGTATTTATCTTTTGTTCACAATACTTCTCTTAAATATATACGCATCCTTTGAAATTTTACCTGCTTTTATTTAGGAAAGTATTTATTTCAAGCCAGCCCTAACTTTCTTTAATATGGTGAGTTTATTGTAATGAAATTAAAATAGTGGTTTTTGAATACCTTTTTTTTGTGGTTTTAGATGAAAATTTCTTTAGAGTATGTCCGTATTTCTTCCTACTGCAGAATCTATTTCTGATTTTCTATTTGTTCTTGTATTGTTAAAATGTAATGTCTTTTTTTGTGAATGCGAACATTTCCAATCTGTCAACTATTGTCTTTATTTCTGTACAATAGAACTTTTACTTTTTATTTCTATTATATTTTTTATTTACTTTTGTAAGTATCTCAATGTTGTTCTGTAAATTTGTCTTGTATGAATTATCTTATATGATATTCTGTATGGCTTAACCTAAGTTAAGCAATTCGTCATTCATAAACATTTGCGTAATTATTTTAAAATTGCTCGTATCGAAACAAAATCAAGGTATCAATCTTTTACATCATTACAAGAGTATTGACTAAAAAATGAGCCAATCGGAATATGAACCAACCAGAGTTTTGCATAGGCGTACCGTGTGCTGCATCGAAGTGCACGGACTGACATGGGCAAAGCCAAAGCTATTTCACTGTTCTTTTTCAAGCCATGAAAATCGTACTTATTTACCTCTTACTACTTTCGAGTTATGCAACAACCGAGCAACTGTATGCTATTTTGAAATTGACATTATTGACGTAAGATATCATACTTTAAAGGTTCGTAGATTTCACAAGCAAAAACTGAAGGTCTGATTTCTACTATTCGACTTTTCATTTCTATAACAATAAACTCAAAAGTCAAATAGATATAGTGATATAATATTAGAAGTTTAGTTTCGTCACATAATCATCGAAAGTATTGAAAAATGTCTGGAAAACTAAAGAATCATTTTTTCAATTAGTAAGACAATATATAATCGAATATATAAAGAAAAATCACTAGTGATTAACAACGAATAGAATTGAACTGCTTGATTAAGCTAGCCATGTCATTGAGATTCAGAAAGGTCTTCAGACATTATAACATCTATAATAGTCGAATGATTCAATATGAGAATGATCGAACGATTATTTTCATATTTCGCAATACATATTTTTCCGTTATCTATATGACTAATACCAAGAATTCATTAATAGAGTAAATAAAACCGAGTGTTAGGACAAGTCCATTGGAATCATTTGTTCATTTTCAGACGAAAATATTATCGTAAGACAAAAAATTAGTTCTAGTAGTGATAATGCACAAGCAACAGCTACAATTCTATTTATAATAAGATTTACATAAACATTAAACTTTTGAAATATTGGCTACAACGTAGGTTAAAAAGATATTATTCTTTAACCTGTTTGTATATAGAATGTCGTATAGAATGACGTACTTAAAGTGTTGACAAATAATAGATGCGTGCATTTTTTTTTCTTTTTCATCTCTATTGTAATAGGGTGTATATACTCGCAATCGTTATAAAATAGAAAATGCAAATTGTTGATGACGAAGTTAAAAAGTAATATACAACTGTAAGAGTATGAATGAAAGACAATGAAGTCGTATGTTTTGTTAAATATTGTATATGTTTACAACGTAGTTTGATTTTGTCATTATGACGTCAACAAAAAAATGTATTAAGTATATCATTGAGGGCATTATTACGTTTTATAGTTCGACTCATAATCAAATATTGCTTATACATCTGAGATAACAAAATTAATATCAAGTTAATTTTATCAAAACAATTTTAAATAATATTTAATGAACTATGTTATATAATTATTTAAATGATAACAATTTTGTCAGATAATTATGTAGAGTAATATATGTGGCTTTGTTTTCGTTTTAATGGAGCGCATATGACCATATTTTTGTGACCGTTTAATTATATCACAAGTTCACGATCTCTGTTGATAATTCGTAGCAGGTTATCAGTGAGAAAACAAAACATCTGCTGACAGGTTTTCTTTTGTTATCAATTTTCACTTCTTAAAAGACACCGATGTTGTTTTTTTTTCTTATTCCATTGGCAAACTAAAATTTAACCAAGAATGAAAACAATTTTCATTATTAGTTTGTCTCTATTTGCAATATTGTTGAGCAATGTTGCTAGTTTTAATTTAACCGAATATCATTTGGTTGTGGAACAGTTGGCTCTTGATGAAAACTTCCTAGAAGAATTTACCAAATGGTCACTCGAACTAATGTCCGAACCAGACTATCTCTATGGAAAATCTCCAGAGCCTTTTCCTTGTTCAACAAAGGGTATGCGAAGTTTGGAAACTCCTACATCAGTTCATGCTCTACGACCGGGTGATATTCAATGTGTTGCAGCTATGGGCGACAGCTTAACAGCAGGCATGGGTGCTCATGCTATTACTCCACTCGGTGTTCTTTTAGAGAATCGAGGTGAGGTTTTTTTTTTCTTTTTGCTAGTTTCATTTTAAGTTTTTTCATTGTGTCGTTACTTTTAGGAATTGCGTGGTCTATTGGTGGTGATCGTAGCTATGATAAAGTACTGACATTACCCAATATTCTTCGTCTTTATAATCCACAATTGAAAGGTTTTTCAACCAAAACTTCAATATCATTTCTCAATGGTCAAAACGCAAAACACAATGGACTTAATGTTGGTTAGTATTATAATTTTTTCATCACTATTATTATTTCTATTGATTACAATTATTCTTTATTTCAGCAAAATCAGGTGCTCGTTCATATCATATGGTTGATCAAGCTGATCTTCTGTTAAATCGCTTAAAGGATGAAAAACTCTGCGATTGGAATAATGATTGGAAACTAATTACATTCTTTATTGGAGTATGTTTTCAATTTTCATACACTTTATTTCGACCATTAATATATTTAGGGAAATGATCTGTGTGATTTCTGTAAAGATTTAACGAAACATGATCCAGTAAATTTTGTTGGATGGGTTCGTGAGACACTCGATCGATTGTACAATGCTAATCTACCTCGTACATTGATAAATCTTGTACCCGTACTCGATATTCGTCCTGTAAAAGAACTTAAAAATGGCAATATTGTTTGTAAACTTCTTCACAAATCTCTATGTCCATGTGCAGCATATCCTACGGAAGACGACGAGAAAATAATAAACCAATGGATTCCTTTATATCAACAAGGTCTTGTTGATCTAGTTAATTCAGGTCATTATGATGGTCGTGATGATTTCACTGTTGTTGTTCAACCATTCTTCACTCAAACGCAACCACCTCGAAAAGACAATAATAAAATCGATTATAGTTATTTTGCTCCCGATTGTTTTCATTTTAGCGGTAAATTTCATGTCATATGTTTCGTCGTGCATAATTTTCTTTTATTCTAGGCAAAGGTCATTCGGTTGCCGCACTATCAATTTGGAATAATATGTTCGAATCAGTTAGCACGAAAAAAACTTCGTGGCACCAAGGTGAACCATTTGAATGCCCTACAGAAGATCATCCTTATATTTATACATCGAAAAATTCAATTCGAAAATAAATGCGTCATCAATGTTGAACGTCATTATTCGTCGAAATTTTGTTTTCTATTCTTGAAATTTTGTCTTAATTTTAAGATTGAATAAAACAAGGAATGATATGATAAAAAAAAAACTGTATTAATTTGAAAATTTAAAAAGAGGAAAAAAAATGTGATGATGAGATCGGATCGCATGATTTCAATTGATTAAGATTCGTTATGTTTATAGAAATTCAACAAAATTCTGAAATATTGTTGAAATAATCGATATTCCATTCTCTCTCGATTATGATCACCCCAAGTGATATCTTATTAAAGATTTTTTTTTAATCATGCGTCTTTGTTTTTATTTTCGCACAAATTAATGATTTCATTCAATGAAAAGATTTTATCAATATGATGCATTGAGACTAAATAGTATTGAATGTCTCTTAATTTCATCGTCAGTATTGCTGCAATACTAAATTTATTTTAGAAATGTTTGTATTAGAAATCCTATGGGTCTGAGTCTTAGACTATCTATATCTATTTGAGTATGTTAGACTGAATCTAACAACTCAGTTTAGCAGTTTCTCCGGTCTATTAGAACTAAGCTGTTTTAAAACTTGTTTAAGTGTCGATTATATTTCATATGAAATTCAGAACATGAATATATGAAAATCTGAAATGTCAAAAAAGTAAAATCTTGAAGAACAAAATGTCAAATGAACTAAGATTTCAAATAATTAATATACTGATAATCAAATCTCGAAAAAATGTCTTCTTATCTATTGCTATTCACGGTGAATGTGTGAGAGTCTACTCCATATGAATACTTATGCTCCACACCCACAGCCGCACCTTCGGGTTCGCTATTTTCAATGCAACCATTAGTTTTTCTTATTAAAAATGAAAACATTTATCGGAACTGATAAAATTGGAATGTTATGTCCTACTTGTTGTTTTCGTTTTATTATCAACTGCTGCTTTATGCCAGAAAGTGTGTGAATGATTCATCCTATCGTATATTTCGAAAAGAAATAGAGAATGCAATAGAATGATTAGAAAGCTGTAATGAATCGAAAATACTAATTGTAAATGAAAGACAAGTCAACAAATAGAATATATAACATGATTAATGATTTCATAAAATGAATCATCAAATGAGTAAGAGTGTCATTCTCTTCTAAATGTCAAAATACTATTATCAAAAAAAAATGTTTCAAACAGAGCTCTGAGAACGATGGGATGGAACGAAAAAAGAAATCGTCTCATGAGACAACTGATTAGTTCCATCAACTTTCAGAAAATCTTCCAAAAAAAAAAAAATTTTAAGTCTTTAATCGACTTTCATGGCTTCGCTATTCAATCATTCCAGTTTCTGTTTAAATCAATTTATTTTGTTTAGTTGTTTTTTGTACTGACCACACTAATCCTACTGCTTTCTTTAATAACAAAATTACGAATCTAGATATTGGGGCTTCGGTAAACTTCAACAAATCCAGCAGAATTCAGGATCTAATTTTTCTCTTCGAATAACTGAATTGTTTGTCTCTAAGTTTAAACAAGTATTAATGCTTCTTCTTCAATGTATTTTTTGTTCATGAGTCTTCACCTTCTAATGAGTTTCTTTTGTCTTCCTAGATTGATAAAAGACAATTGAAGATCTTTACATACTATAATACAATTTGGTAGATAGGTTCATGTCTTTATGGAATCGGATGAAATCTAGAATATTTGGGGTTTAGAAGAACTCCTCTGAATATATCGATTAGTTTTTCTTTGAACCAAAACTTGAAAAACAAATTGTGTCGAAAATTAATTTAAAGTAAAGACTGTTTATAACTACATGTTTTTATCTAAATAATCAATAAATATGACGAGGAAAATATTCAAACATGTAAAACTCACAGTTTGAAGTAGATACACTATCACAAAAACAATACGGATTTTCATTATTTATATTTCTGTAAAAATATTTAATATTTTCCATGAAAAAATAGTACAACACAATCATTTACGAACTTATTTGTGCGGAAGAAAAATACGAACAAATACGTTAGAATAAATTCTCTTTACGCATCATTTCTCTAAAGCACCTTGAACACATATGTCAATAAAAAAAAAAGAACATGAATTTTTTCGTGTGCCAAATACAAAAAAAGAAATTCTTTCGATTTCATTTGGTGATCAAAGATATGAATTCTTATTTCAGTATTCCGTTAATACATTCTAGAAACTGTTTTATGAATAAAATTAATTTCATTTATTTTTCATAAATATTATTACTAAAAACTAGAAATGTCGTTCGGTTTTTTTTCTGAAAAGGGGAAAAAAGACGGTGAGTATGTCTTTCGCATCACTAGGTCGCTGCTGTTGCATTTTGTTAATCGACACTAAATGATAAACAAAATTTTCCTCTTCCCCCGCCATCATCTTCTTCAATACTTGTATTTATGACGTATTCAATAGTGCACCAGCTGGTATCACATTATAACATTAGCAAGAAAAAAAACAAGAAGAATAAAGTTTTGTTCGATAGACCGTCATTGTCGTCACCATCGTTCTTTTTTTTGGTATCTTCATCATTCGTTTTAACGACAAAAACATTTCATAGAAATCTAATATACTCTTGTAATATTATACGTTCTTCATATATATTCGAAATTAAAAATGTTAAAAGTAACTGTTCACAATGCAGAACGTATTCCTAATTTGGAACGATTTACTAATGTTGATCCATTGGTGACACTTATTTTTCAAGGTATGTACATGTGTGAACTTTACAATCCTTTATCGTGTGGGAGTTTATAGTCACATAAAATATAATAGTGAAATATTTATTATTGATAAAAAAAAGAAAAAAACGAACGATGGACGATGTTAATATTGCAAAAAAAGATGGAATTTTTCGAGTTATTATACACGATGTTAATAATGTTCCTTCGACAGAAAGATTTCGAGGATCACCAGATCCTTATATAAATGCTTTTTATCATGGTAGTTTTCTCATTAATTTTTTTTTCTGATAGTGAGTTTTTTTTATCATACTTACTTTGATTTTATCTTTATTAGGTATCAAAAAACAAACCAATTGGCAACGATCAACATGTGACCCAAAATGGGAAGAAGTAGATCAAATCTTTTATTATTTTTTTGTGTAATTCTATTGTCATGTATTGATTTAGACACTTGATTTTCCTCTTAATGGTATTCCGATTCAAAGTATGGACACACTTGAAATTCATCTTAAAGATCATGAAACGATCGGAGCTAACAAGTATGTTTGACTTTTTCCTAACCTTTGAACTCTTTCGTTATTCGATATGCATTGCTAGACTCATTGGGCAAGGATCTGTACTATTAGGTGATGTTCTACGTACTGGTATAATAAAACGACGTGCTGTTCAATTAACGAATCCTCAAGGTGTTCTTCTTGAAGCTGTATGTTTAACATAGATTTTTTTTTTATATAATTGTTTTATTTAAAATAGACTAAATTATATATTACATTGGAATATATTCCACCAGATAGTAATGAAAAAATGCCAATAAATTTTAAAAATGGTAAAATATTCTTTTCTTTATTGAAAATATAATTTTTTATTTGTCATAAGGTGATCCAAATCAATTTGATGATATACCTTTACAAATTAATGGTGATAAATCATGGCAATTAGAAGTTAGTGGTGATCAAGGTTTGAAACGACCGATTAAACAAAGATCAACCAAAACACAAGATTTTCAAGTTAATATTTCTTTATTTTGTTGTTGTTTTTTTGCAAATTATTTATAAAATGATTAATTTTTAGGTTCGAATAAAAATTTTTCAAGCTCGTCAATTAGATGGAAGTAATTTACATCCTGTTTGTCGTGTACGAATATTTAGTTCTGTAAAACAAACAAAAATTCAAAAAGGAACAAATCAACCATATTTTAATGAAGTTTTCTTTTTTAATATAAATATGTCTGAAGCTGAATTATGTGATGAAATGATTGAATTTGAAGTTTGTAATTCGAGAACACTTCGAGCTGATATGAAAATTGGTACATTTAAAATGGATATTGGCTATGTTTATTCTCAACCGCGACATTCAATTAATCGAAAATGGTTATTATTAAGTGATGAAGATGATCGAATGACTGGTGCTAAAGGTTATCTTAAAGTATCTGTTAATATATTAGGTCCAGGTGATGAAGCACCGGTAACATTTTTCATACGATTTATTTAAAATTTTTATCGAACTCACATATATATGTTCATAGAGAATAGTGAATGTAATTTTTAAGTACAAGCTTCGCAGCTTCCCCGTCCTCCATCACAGACCTTAGCCACCGCAATTATACATCGCTGGTTATGCAATAGAATCCGTTGGTCTAATTCCAGACTTAGTCGAATCCGAAAATTTTGAACCCTATGAGCTCTGCTACGCAGACAAATAGAAGAGGTTTGCTTAGCGAATAATATTGATAGAAATTTTAAGATCAAAGATGGAAGGAAAAGAGTGTAAAATTAAGGTATTAATAGTGTGGCAATGTTGAATGTATATGAGTTCCACAGTTTAGTCTCAAAGAGGCTGCACTAACAAATTTTTAATATTTGTTTATTTTAGTCACAAGAAAATGCTGCTGATGATGATGATATTGAAAGTAATTTATTAAAACCAGCTGGTATTATGCTTCGTCCAGCAACATTTATTTTAAAAGTATTTAAAGCAGATGATTTACCAAGAAGTTCGTATTGAAAAAACCAAAAAGATTTCTTTTTTTGTTTTGAAAAAATTTGAAAGTATTTCTTTTGATTCTTTAGTGGATAGTGCATTTTTAAATGGAGTTAAAAAAATTTTTCATGCAGCAGAAGATATCAAAGAACTAATTGATCCTTATGTTGTTTTTTCATTTGCTGGACAACAAGTATTTTAAATAAATATTAATAAATTTTCTGTTCATATTTCTTTTTTTGTTTATTTATTTACATAGGTTTCAACAAAAATTATTTACACATGTTCACATCCCGATTTTAATCAAGAACTTCGACTTGGTCTTAAAGTAAAAAATTCATTTGAATTAAAATTATTTTTAATTATAATATTAATCTAGTTTCCATCAATGTGTGATAAAATAGTATTAACTGTTATGGATTGGTAAGAAGAAATTTTTCTTTTTTTTTTTTTCTTCGTTTGTCTAATAATAAGATATTCTAAAAGTGATGTATAATAAAATCTACAATATACAGGGATCGTCTACAATTTGATGATATAACATGCTCAGCATTCCTTCATAGTAATCGTTTATGTGATGATCGAGAAAATGGTATTAATCATATATGTTAATGGTTTTTTTTTATTGCACATATTTGTTTTGAAAATGATATAATGATTTTATGGGATCAGATAAATTTATATATATGTTGTTTTTTAAAGGGACAAAATATCATCTGATGATATAGTTGCAAAAAATTGTCTTCATATTATACAAATAAGTCAATTAAGTGACAGGGGTATTTTATAGAAAATAGATGTGCTTTGTAGATATAAATATAATTAATATATTAGAGTTTTAATTATTTGAAAAATGATATGTACATATTATAATCAGTACTTTAATAGATACTTTTTTTTTAATTAATAACTTAAAAATATGTTTTTTTTTTCTTCATTACATTTGTTCTAAATAATTTCATAGTGGATTTACAAATAGAATGGAATATTTGTCTTCTTTTGTTTTAAAGTTCTTTTCGGGAAATAAATTTAAGAATTCTAGAGAATAAAGAAATATTTTCAATTATTGAATATTATTCGTTCACATACTTTGGCTATGAATAATAGGTCTTTATGAGGTTATAAGTTTTCTAATATCCAGTTAATAGTTATTTGACATTTGAAAATAGCCTCCTAATCAATTTAACTAAACTTCTATGTTGCAATTTATTTTATATTTATGGGATTGGATTTTTATATTTTATAAAATATTTTGTTTTGGTGATAAAGGGATCGCTTAATGCACAATGATATAATTGGTGTCGGTATTCTTGATATATTCACTAAAGATCATGGTAGAAATTGTAATATTTCTCATGATTTTTAATATAATTATTTCATTTTCTAAGGTTTTCTTCCAACATTTGGTCCATGTTGGATTAATTTATATGGTGCACCACGTGAATATTCTGAAGTTCCAACAGTATTAGATGAATTAAATAGTGGAAAAGTAATATATATATATATGAAGATAAATCTTCATTTATTATTATTTTTATAATTCTTTGTTTTTTTTTCAAAACAAAGGGTGAAGGTGTTGCTTATCGTGGTCGAATATTTGTTGAATTACAAACAATTCTTGGTGAAACTCCAATAGAACCTATTGGTGAAATATCAAATTCAGATTTAATTCGTGCATTACCATATCAATCACGAAAAAAATATAAATTACATGCAGCATTTCTTGATGCTTGTATGTTATATGAACATGAATCAACAATTGAATTTGAAATGAGTATTGGTAATTATGGAAATAAATTTGATGATCTTGTTGGTAATGCAAGTTGTTCAACAACACCACCATCAAATCCTGTTTTTGATGGAACATCATATTATTTTTTACCATGGGGACATACAAAACCATGTGTACAAGTTGCAAGTGAATGGGAAGATATTACTTTTCGTTTAGAAGCAATGAATCAATTATCAAAAATTAAATTATTTATTGTATGTTATAAATTACTTAGAAAGATAAAAAGAATTCTTTTTTTTTTTTTTTGTGTGTATTTTTTTAGACCGGTCTTATGTCAACATTAGATTTATTAAAAATTAAACAAACATCTGAAGAAGTTCTTGTACGACATTATAAACAATCTCTTGATATGGTTATTTCTCATTTAAAGTAAATTAAAAATAAATAAAAAATAGTATTTGTTTTTTTTTTTTTTGTATCAATAGAAAACCATTGCCTGAAGCTGAACCAGGTCGTCATCATGTTAATGAACTTGATCGTTTAAGACGTCAAATGCGTTTAAAAGATCTTTCAGATATGATCATTAAATTAGAATATTTAAAATTACATGCTAAAACATTACAAGAAATTATTAATACATTAGAAGATATTAAAGAAAATCTTGAATTTCTTGAAGCTGAAGTATGAAAACAAAAACAAAAAAATGTTTTTTTTTTTTGTTTTTCGATTGAATAATAATAAAAATTTAAATTTTCTAGCCACAAAATAGTATTCCCGATGTAATTATATGGTTATTATCAAATGGTAAACGTTATGCATATTATCGTTTACCAGCAAATGAAGTTTTTTATTCAACACATGTTGATCGTCGTGGTCGTCTTTGTGGAAAAGTTCAAACAATAACATTAAAATGGCCAGGAAAAGAATCAGATATTGGAAAAGATAAAAAAAAATTTATTCCAGCAGAAATTCGAATTAAAATTTGGTTAGGTTTAGCAATACATGAACAAGATTGGTTATCACAACAAAAAGGTGCTGATTTAGCTATTTATGCTGAAACATATGAAAATCAATCAAATGTACTTGGACAATGGACTACAAGTGGACCATTAATGAGTAGACCAGCTTGGTCAGATGTTACTGGAAATGTAAAAATTCATTTATTATGAATCTTTTATTTTATTACATTTTTGTTTTAGATAAGTTTACCTAGAGCAAATTTTCAATTACCTTCAGGATGGCGATGGGATGGTGATTGGTATATTAGTCCAGAAATAAGGTAAAGAAATAAAACTAAATACAATATGAATTATTGATCTCTTATTTTGATGATACATCGTTCTATATTATCTCATGAAAATATAGTAAAACACATATTTGAGGTGATTTGATTTGTTCAAACGAACCATATTATGAATCGTGTCGATAGGAGAGACTAACTTGTTTTTCATTGATAGAATTTAGAAGAAAAAAATTAATTTTTGCTAATATAAATTAAATTCAAAATGTTTAATATCTATTATTAAAAACATTGGATAATGTAAAAGAATAGAATAACATTTCTCTAATGTAAGCATCATCGGAATCGACTAAAAGTTTTCACTTCAAGATTGTAACGGAATCAGAGCAATGCGAAAAATTCTCAACCAATGACAACTCTGACAGACGTAACAGAAATGTTCATTGTTGCTTTTTTTTGCAGCAACAGCGTATGAATATTTAAAAGATCTATTTCGATTTATTAGATAAAAAGAGACCTAAAGAGTAATTTTTTGTGATATGAAAAGATTTTAATGAATTAGAATTCATATTGTGTTGTTGTTGTTTTTATTAGTGCTCGATATTCGGATGATACTGGCCATCGACAATTTACTGAAGAAGTATATGAACATCACTATCGTCTTATTGCTGGAGCTCAATGGCAACCAAAAACAATTGCTTGGACAGATTTAGTTAGAAAAAAATATCAATAGAATAAATCATTTACTGTATTGTTTTTTTCTATTAATAGACTGGTGATAAAGTTCTAAGTAAAGATGAACGAATCGAACCACCAGCAGGATGGATATGGGAAGATGAATGGACTATTGATACGAACCGTGCTGTTGATGAAGAAGGTTAGAATTAAGTTTTTTTTTATTTGTAAATGATAATAATAATTAATTTTTATTTTTGTTATACTCATACAGGTTTTGAATATTGTGTTAATCAAACACTTGGTGGATGGTGTCCAACAGAAAAAGTATTTCATTTAAGTCGTCGACGACGTTGGTATCGAAATCGAATTCTTAAAGGAGAAAAAATTTCTGATGATAAAAAAGTAATTATTTTTATTACTTTTCTTCTTTTTTTATTGTTGTTATTGTTAATATTAAATCTATATCTTCAGGAAAATTCATTTTTATTTCATACATCTAATGAAACTACACCTTTACTTATTTCATTCGATGAAAATGAAGTGGGTTTTAGATAACCTTTAGATTTCAAAACAAAAAAAAAAACCCAACCTTTTTATTTATTTTTCATGATTAATCAATAATTTGTTTTTTCTCATAGAAAAAAGAAGTTAAAGAAAATTTAAAAAATGAAGGATGGGAATATGCTCCAATGTTTAATATGAAATTTCATGCTGATGAACGTAGTATGGATATGACACGTCGTCGACGATGGCATAGAAAAATGGTTCCATCAGCTGAACAAAATCTTAGTAGTGCAACTGGAGGACTTGTATCAAATACAGATATTATCTTTCGAGTACAATCACAAGTTCAAGTTACATCTGATTCACCTTCAAAAATAGATCAACGTCAATCTGATTCACCATCAACAACAACAAAGGAAGTTAAAATTGAATTAAATGCACCACGAATGTTTCTTACTTTTAAAAGTAAAATTTTTATTTAAAATATGAATAATTAAAATTTTGATTTTTTTTTAGAAGCATATTATTATGAACTTCGTGCATATATATATCAAGCAAGAAATCTTCTTTCAATGGATCATAATAGTTTTTCAGATCCTTATGCACAAATTGGTTTTATTAATCAAAGTCAACGTACTGAAATTATACAACAAAGTTTATGTCCAACTTGGGATCAAGTGAATTTGTTTCCTTTCGTTTTTTCTTTTTTTTTTTTTTTAATTAATAATTTAATTTCTTTTTTTTTAGACATTAATTTTTTCAAGTGTGGAACTCTATGGTGAACCAGATGAAATTCATCATGATCCACCAAATATTCTAATTGAATTATTTGATAAAGATCAATATGTAAATATAAATATAATTATAAATATATATAGTATTGATTTTTTATTTTAAAGGGAAGTCCAGATTTTCTTGGTCGTGTTCAATGTTCACCAATTGTTCGTTTAACACCTGATGAAACAAAACCAACAATTAAATTAAAATGGTTTCCTGTTAAAAGAGGAAAAGATGATGCAGGAGAATTATTAGCTGCTTTTGAACTTTTCTTAGTAAATTTATTTATTTTAAATAAATAATTTTTTTTTTTTTTTTTTTTTAATTTTTTTTTTTATAGTTACCTGAAACTGATAGTGAAAAAAAAATGCCTCCACATCCACCAAAACGTGGTTCTTTATTTATTGTACCACAAACAATTCGACCTCAACTTGTACGAACTGGAATTGAGGTTTGTTTGTTTTGGTTTTTGTTTTTTTTATAATAAAAATAAAAATTTCTTCTTTTAGATTCTTTGTTGGGGTATTAGAAATATGAAAACATTTATGTTATCAGATGTTGAATGTCCACAAGTGGTATTTGAAGTTGGTGGTCATGAAATTGAATCAACTATTATTAAAAGTGCAAAGAAAACACCAAATTTTGATAAACCATTATTATTTCTTGATGTTGTATGTATTTATCTAAAATACGATTTGTAACAAGTGTTGAAGTATATAGGATTGAAATTTGAATCCATTTTTGCTTCTCCGATAGATCGTGCAAGACATTGCTGATATTCAATCAGAGACTGATATTCGATAGAATGAAGCAATTTCTCTTTAATAGTTACATTATGTTTCGAATTTTAATCCAATAGAGATTATATTAATAAGTTTTTATTTTTAATTATAAATTTTTTTTGATTTATTTAGATGTTACCAAAAGAAGATCTTTATGTACCACCAATGAATATTAAAATAAAAGATCATCGATCATTTGGAAGAAAACCAGTTGTTGGTTATCATATTATCAAATCTCTTGAACTTTTTCGATGTGATCCAGCTGCACCATTATTAACTATAATGCAAGCAGCTCGTAAGATTTAATTTAAAATTATTATGAAACTATTAGAATTATTTCGACTTTTTTTAAAATCTTTATATCAATTTATCTCGTAATGATAGTTAGATGTAAAGCAGAGATGTCCATCGCGGCTGAACCTCTGCCGCTGCCGCGCCGCGGCATTAGAAAAAAAAAGTTACCGCGCCGCTGCCGCGCCGCGATGAGTAATAAACTGGCCGCTGCCGCGATGGTTTTCAAAAAAGTGTTTCGATTTTCACTGCTGCAACTGTATTGGACCAGAAATATTGGTACTAGTCTATCAGATTCATTCAGTCTCGGGTGTTTCATTTGTAAACAATGAAATTCTATTAAATTCATGCAGTTTTTCAATGTCCTCGAAAAAAATGCGGCCGCTGCCGCGATGAGCTTTTAAAAACTCTGCCGCTGCCGCGATGAGTTTTTAAGAAACCTGCCGCTGCCGCGCCGCCACCGCCACGGCGGCAGCGCCGTCATGGACATCTCTGATGTAAAGAACTGACTAGAATAATCACTTATGGATTTCAAACAAGAAAAATTTGTCGTTATCAATAATTAGACTATTATATTTTGTTAATTGAGCCGCTTTTCAGTGTCTGTAAGATAAGTCGGATTTGAGACGTAAAAAACTTTATCTTACAAGATTCTAAGTTAATCACTAATTTTATTGAATAAAATATTTGTTTTTTGTTTAATCAAAAGATGCAATATCATCTGGAATGAGTCCAACTGAAGAAGCTGCTGTTTCAACAGATAAAAAATCTAAAAAACATCATCGAAAAGTAAATTTTTATTCTAGAGAAAAAAAAAACATTGTTAAATATAATATTATTTTGAAATAATAGTCAGTTTCACCACAACCAGCAACTAGTTTAGCTGATGGTACAGTTGCAACAACAACAATTGCATTAACAACAAATGAAATATCAACAGAAGCAGTTGATAAAAAAACTATGAGAAAACGTGTTAAACGATTTTTAAAAAAACAAAAATCAGCAAGTGGAACACCAATGAAACCAGAATCAAAGTTAATGAAAATTCAAAAAACAATGGCAGCTAAACATCATCAACAATATCCAACTGCTACCATTACTGAAGAGGTTTGTTTCAACTAAATTTCTTATATAAATATGTAATCAACAAGTCAATTTCTAGACAGAAAACCGTGGATATTCGGTTTCTTTTTTTCAGCAGCTTTTATTAACGTTCTTGATTTCCTTGTCAGTTACGTGCGTTTTACAATCTAAATATGATACTCCCACTTGGTTCTTCTATAAAATCGATTTCCGAACTTTAACTTAAGTTCTTAATAGAACTTTATCATTGTAAATGTTTAAGTATCATCTATTCTAAAATATAAATACAAGAAAATTTTGAACTTTTTTTTTGCGTAAAACAATCTTTAGTACTGTTATCGAAGGACAGAAGGTACTCAAAATCAGACACATTCATAATATCAACTACTGTAGTTTTATGTAACACTTAAAATCGATAGTCGATATTGAAAGTAATTTTAAGAAGATTGGTATATTTTTGACAAAATTTGCTAAGATGATGAGAGCTCATTTTAAAAAAAGATTCCTAACAATGAAACCTTTTCGATTTAGTCTAGTCTCAACAGAGTCTGCCTAATGAGATAAAATTCATTTGAAAATTGATTTATCATTACGTGAGATGTAAATCAGAGATGTCCATCGCGGCTCAAAATCTGCCGCTGCCGCGCCGCGGCCAAAATCAAACAAAGCTGCCGCGCCGCTCCCGCGACGCGATGGCCTGTTAAAAAAAGCTACCGCGCCACTGCCGCGCTGGTATTCGAAAAAATGTTTTGATTTTCAAGGCTTTGACTGGTTTGAAATAGAACTGATGTCGCTAATCGATCAGATGCGCTAAGTCTTACAGTATAGCATACATAAACATGCAGATTCTGTGCAAATTCATGAATTTTTGAAATTTTTTCCTAAAAAGCTACCGCCGCCGCACCGCTGCCGCGACGGCAAAATAAAAATCGCTGCCGCACCGCGATAGTTTTTGGAAAAAATCTGCCGCCACCGCCACGGCGGCAGCGGCAGCGCCGCGATGGACATCTCTGATGTAAATCTGCGTCTATTACTATTCCGATTGTTTCATGCTAGTCTTAACTTGATATAGAATGTTTGTCATATGAATAGTATTGATCAATCGATATTCATAATATTATCATTACTACAACAAAAAAAAACTCGTTTGACAATTCAATATACTCTTAAGTTGTTGTTTTTGTTTTTCATTTATTAGCCAGTAGTTGAAGATGATATTGATTGGTGGTCAAAATATTATGCATCGAAAGGTGAACTAAATAAATGTGGTTCATATGCACAAAAAGGATATGAAACTTTAACAGTAAATAAATAATAAAATTTTTTTTGTTTTTCAAAAAAAAAATTAAAATTAAAATATAAAAATTTTAGATACTTTCTCATCCACTTGAATTACATGAAATTTATGAAGGTTTTAGTGATTTTTGTCGAACATTTGAATTATCTCGTGGAAAAACAAAATTTGAAGAAGAAAATGAAATAGTTGGTGAATTTAAAGGTCTTTTTAAAGTTTATCCATTACCTGAAGATCCAAATGAACCTTTACCACATCGTACAATGGAAAATTTACCATCAAATAGTTTAGAAGAATGTGTTGTTAGAGTTTATATTATACGTGCTATTGATTTACAACCAACAGATTCAAATGGAAAATCAGATCCATATATTGAAATTGAATTAGGTAAAACAACAATTGATAATAGAGATGAAAGAATACCAAATACAACAAATCCTGTTTTTGGAAAGTTAGTTTGTTTTTTTTTTATTTTCATTTAATTTATTAAAATTAATTCAATTGAATTCTTCATTTATTTTTTTAGAATGTTTGAATTAAAAACTATAATTCCAACAGCTAAAGATTTAATAATTCGTGTTAAGGATTGGGATTTATTAACATCAGATGATGTTATTGGACAAACAACTATTGATTTAGAAAATCGATTTTTAAGTAAATATAGAGCAACATGTGGACTTCCATTACAATATAATGTGTAAAGTATTTTCTAGAAATAATAATTAAATATAAATGTTTATATTATTTAGAACTGGTCCAAATCAATGGCGTGATAGTGTTCGTCCTCGAAAAATTCTTTATGATGTTTGTAAACGTAATAATTTACCAGTTCCTGAATTACTTGATGAACAGACAATTAAAATAGGAGATTATTTATTTCATCTTGAAGATTTTGGTTTGTTTACATTTTGTTAAATATTTAATTTTATATTGAGTTTATATTTTAGAACAAGAAAAACATTTAACAATTCATGTTGGTGATGATGAAGAACGTTTAGCTTTATATATATTACATAAACTTCGTCTTTGTCCTGAACATGTTGAAACTCGACCACTTTTCAATCCAATACAACCTTTAATTGAACAAGGTCGTTTAGAATTATTTATTGATATTTTTCCAAGATCTCAAGGTTCACCGGGACCTGTATTTACTATTACACCACGAAAACCAAAACCGTAAGACTTATATATACTTAAGACTAATGAAAGAACGTTTTTTAATTGAAAGCTAATGAATTGAAGGTTATTGACTTCGATTAGAACTATAAGAAATCTCTTTAGATTTTGATATATTGATTTTTTAGACTAACAAATATTTGTGTCGACAGTGTTTTTTGATCCGTTCAAATTATAGAAGATATTGTATTTCAAATTATTTTATTTCCTAGAAAATACAGTCATTTTAATTCATACAAGAGATATATATTAACAGTTCAATTTAAAAATTTTCAAGATGATATTATTTTACTTAAAACTTATTTTAGATAATCAAAATCTATTATAATCTGAGCAGATCCAAAACGATTTTCAAAAATTGTTCTGAGTCTTAAAAATCGATTTTTCAGAAACTAGTATTTAAAGACCTACAGACATTTCTTATGATTCTATTTGGAATCAGCACAATCGATAAGTCATACCTCGGTAGCTTTTACTTAGAAAACGATTGGTTAATTGAAAAACGTTGTCTCGTAAAAATTACTAAATGACTTATTTGAAGATACTCATTCTTTTGAGTTTATACTTTTGTGGATTAGAGATTTCCAAAGTAAAATCTGACCATTCAAATAGATATCGATGTAGATACATTATTGCATTGTTGAAGTGATGAGACTTATTTAACGGTTAGAAATCTAAAATTCACATATTCTCATCTATCTAGATGCCGATTAATACAGTAATCACTTGTAATAATATTAAATAATCTTCTTAAAATTATTCATTCGATCAAATTTAGACTTTTTTCAATATTAATCTAGTCTAGCTGTGAAGCATCTTTAAAAAATGTAATTCTATTACTCATGCCCATAAGCATACAGTAAACCTTTATTAAAGTAAGCGCCCATAGATTCAATCAAGTTTTCATTTAGATATGTCCGAACATCTATAATTTTTTTTTTTATGAAGTCTGTTGCCTTTCAGTGTTGAGGTCACGTACTTCATGATTGGTAGACCTATCATAGTTAATCGTAAAAATCTTCCTTTTGTTTTACTTGTACTCTTTAGTTTTATTGTTTTACTAAAAATGACTGTAATATTCGATGCATGTCTGTACTTATATCTTCAGCAGATTTCCGAATAAGTAACAGCATAGATGACGTGAACAAAATGTGTGATTTAAAAATTTGTTATTTGATTTTGTTACTAATTTATTTTAGTTATATTCTGCGTTGTATTATTTGGAATACAAGTGATGTTATATTACAAGAAACATCAATAACAGGAGAACAAATGTCTGACATTTATGTTAAAGGATGGATGGGTGGAATTGAAGAAGAAGTACAAAAAACGGATGTACATTATCGGTTTGTTGAATTCATTTTTTATTATTATGAAAATTTTCTTTTTTTATTCGAAATTAGATCAATGGATGGTGAAGGGAATTTTAATTGGCGTTTTGTTTATGAATTTTCATATTTACCAGCTGAAAGATGTATTTCAGTTAAAAAGAAAGAACATTTTTGGAGTTATGATACAACAGAATTAACAATTCCACCTGTATTAAATCTACAAGTTTGGGATAATGATAAATTTAGTGCGGATGATTTTCTTGGTAAAATTTTATTGTATTTTTTGTTTTATATTAAATTAAAATTTTTTTTTTTTTTTTAAAAAACAAATAGGTGCATTAACACTTGACTTAAATCGTTTATATAAACCAGCAAAAGATCCTGATTTTTGCACATTAGATATACTAGATGATGAATCATCAAATGCTGTTTCATTATTTGAAATGAAACGAGTAAAAGGTTGGTGGCCATGTGTTAATGTCGAAGGTGGAGATCCAGAATTAACAGTAAGTTTTTTTTTTGTAAGTTATTTTATGATGCAAGAAATAGCAAAAATTTTTAGGGAAAAATTGAACTTGAACTTGAAATTTTAACTGAAGAAGAAGCTCGTGAAAGACCAGCAGGTCGTGGTAGAGAAGAACCAAATGAAAATCCTAAATTGGATCCACCTCAGTAAGAATTTTGAAAAAGAAAATGATTAAAATGAAAAAATAAATGAATTTGTTTGATTTTTTGTTTTTTAGACGACCTGAAACATCATTTCTTTGGTTTTCATCACCATTTCGTACATTTAAAAATATTATTTGGAGAAAATCGAAATGGTATATTATCGGTGCATTACTTTTAATTTGTTTTATTATATTCTTACTTCTATTTCTATGGGCTATGCCAGTAAGTTTTTCTTATTGTTTTATTTCGAAATTTTATTCATTTGAAATTTTGTTATAGAGTGCTGTTTGGGCTCGACTTTTGCGTATACCCGGGTGATTGTATTTATTCATATACTAAACCTTATCTAATATTTTTTGTCATTGATTCCCTTCTGTTTATTAATAAATCTTGTCTCATTCAAATGATTTTTTTGCATGATGTTATTTGATTTATGCTAGTAGAATATGTCAATAGTCTATTGTTGATGAATATTTCCTAAGAAATTGACATCTGTTTGATAGATTAGTCATATTACGATCAGATTTAAAAAAAGAACAATGCCATCGCTCATCTAATAATTACTGGTGACTGTTTTCAGTGTTGTATCATGATATATTGTCTTAAAACGGGTGAATGTTATTGCAATTTGTTAGAACTACCAAAATTGAATCATTTTGGACGTAAATTGATGATGTTGATGCGCCTGAGACGTCTGTAATAGCTACGGAGGTCAAATTTTCTTCTCAAGTAATATGAATTCTTTCTAATAGATAATTTCAATTCGGAGAGAAAACACTCTCTGAAATCGTTCATAGCTGAAACGGGAAGCCGTAATTGCTATTTTCGGTTCATATGAATATCATAGTATATCGATGGTAGCGCGAACAAAAGTGCGACTGTGGTTACGCTTTGATATTAAAAGCTTAAATTTTAATTCATAAGTTTATTCAACAGTATTAATTTTCGACAATGAAAGTCTAACCTATTATATACTTTTAATATAGACACCAGTGATTTCAGTTAATAAAATTCAAAAAAAAAAACAACCGTTCCTATAGTATAGTAGTTCCGAAAAAGTACTTTTGTAAGTAAGAAGTTGATTTTTGAAGATCGTTAATATTTATTATGTTTGAAAAAGTGATTTCTTTGAAAGATAAAAGCTGAAACTTTGTGCAAATATTGAAGATGTCTAATTATACATAAAAAGCAATTTCAGCTTTATATCTCGTTCTTATTACGAACTAGAAGAATTGTAGCATATTTATATTACTCATTTTTAGTATCTATTGCATCTCCAACGGCATTCATTCAACTGACCTGGAAACGTTTATTTTGTTTTCGTTAGATTTCAGTCACATGTTAAATCAAAAAGTTTTCAATGAAGTTAAATTTTGAAAAAAATAATAAATATCTTGTTTTATGTCTTACCGTGATAGAATACCACTGAAGACGGGTCTCTGAACAAGTGCGGTGAGAAAAACCGACTTTTTTTTTGACAAAAAAAACGGTCTTGTAGACAGAGAACTATCATTGATGGCAAAAACTTCACTTTGACCAGGAGCATGATTCACAATGATAATAATTATAAAAGTGTATATCGGAATATCTAACCATATTTCGTCTGAAAATGTCATTCTTTGACATCACTAGATTTTTTCGGGAGCTTTAATCATAACATCCCTTTTCATCCATTTGTAAAAAATATGTACAGTTTATTAGTGTTATAATCGTTGATTGATCTCTCCGACTTTAGATTATTCAACAGTTGAGCAGCTTCCCAATTATTTGTAAAAATATTTTGACAAGTTTCAGTTCGATGCTAGATTCCATTTTCTCGGAAGCACCAAGCTCTATTTCTCATTAGAAAAACTAGGATTACTCAATCCAAATTCCTTTTTCAAAAAAGAACTCGAATCAGCAAAACTCTCTTTAATATGTTTGTGATAACCAATATCGTCAACAAAATTTCATTAATTGTCTTTTTTTCGAATGTCACACTACAGAACGTCAAAATAGAAATCTCGACAAGCATTGTTAGACTACATGTTAGAATAAATCAAAAAAGTCAAACACAATCCGTTTCGATTAGGATTCGGATTGTTTCTTTTCAATCTCTCATTAAATTAAAAAAATCAACTAAATCATTCTCTGTTTGATTATCCCCTAGACAGACATCTTGTGCTACACATGTGATGCGACAGTTTATAGATATAGTTAATAATCAAAAAAATAAATTTAAAATATTGAAATTCTGCTATTAAGTATTGGTGCTTGTCTAGAGAAGACTAACATTCACACCGACACAAGCACCGAACCACACCCTCTATCTGATATGGTAAAGATTGATGGAGCCATTTATTGATTTCATTTCTATAGTAACAATGAAAAATGAATGATTAAGAATAAAAACTCTGTACATCATTTAAATATAAAAGATATAATTAAAATTTTTGCATTTGTATAAATATTATAAAATTAAAATAAAAAATATTAAAAATCAATAGATGACGTTTTTATTTACAATTGATTGGTTATCTACAATGTAAGCAGATTGTCGAGTTGTTTTTTCTAAGACATTTCGATTTTGGTTAGAATATATTTTGTATTTGATTATCATTGTAGATTATTTTTATTCTTAAATTAGTGAAGAAAAAAAAACACACAAGAATGAAATTAAGTCTTATTCGATTTGGTGGTGGTGGTGATGCTGAAGTACCAGCTCATATTCGACAAAAGATGGCTACTAATTGGTATGTTCGTCATTTTAATTCATATACAACTCGTGGTCGAGCTAATTCTGTAATGGGTGTTATTGGTGGTTGGATACTTTTTGGTTATACGATGACAAAATGGAGTCAATCACGTAAAGCTAAACGATTAGCATCTGAACCTCCTAAACCATCAGCTCCAGCTCCACCTCCACATTCATCATCACCAAAAAAGAGTGGTCATCATTAAATTTGTCCAAAACTACATTAACTATTATATTCATTTGGTCAACGTCCTTAGGCACAGTTATGACTTTTCCGTCGCTCTTTTTTTTTCGTCCTGTCTCGTTTTTTTGTATTAAGACCATATTAGAAAAAAAAATTAAATCAACATAGAATTGATAATTGGTTTTCTTTTTTCTTTTTAAATAATATTAAGAAAAATCTATTTATTTAAGGTCAATAACGATACATTGATTAATTTATATTACTATGATTTTGAAAAATGTAGAAAATTGATTTATTGTTTATTAAGGTTTTTCGGTTGCTGATCAGACAATTCAATAAAATTGAGCCTATTCTATCGATTAGATGTATAATATTTTGAAAGAAATTATATGCATACACTATTAGATAAATTATATCATTTGATTACATTGAGATATTCTAAAATATATCATATCTTCTCTTCTATTAGATTTTCTTAATAATAACGAACAGAAAGATTATTTTATTGTTACCAATAAAATATGACAAAAAGTTGAACACTGTTATACTCTTTAAAATACAGAGTTGGATCGATACAGCTAACATTAATAAGAGAATGTATGAAAATTTCTCTAGATTGAGGATGCTACGTTAAATTAAAGAAAATATATATGTGAATGAGATAGAAATCTATAGATTTATATATTTATTAATATTAATACTCATAAGTAAGAATAATCTATTGAACATATATTTTTCTATAATATTTTCAAATTGATGAATTTTGTTAAAAATTAATATCCATTACGAAAATTGTATCTTGAATTTAATAATTTTATACAAATATAAATTTCATTTATTTATAAATGTTACAATAAAAGGATCAATCAAGATGGCATATTTAATATCCTGATTAGTTTTGAAAACTTTTCCTGTGTGAATCAATATAGTTCGTTTTGATATCTTATTTTTCTTACTTTTATACTAACCATTATACTTAACAATAGTATTTGTTTATCTTATTCATACGAAAAAAAAAAGCCTTTTAATAAGATTCCATCACTAGCCAAAGAAAATTCAAACAATACAAGTTGGTTCTTACTGTTTAATGCTTTTAACATTTGATATAATTTATATAAAATCAGTTTCTATGAACTGATAAAATACAGTTCATTATTCCATTCTTGATATTGTTTAGTTTTTCAATTTTTCATTAAACAAGAAAATACTGTAATTTTCTATAATGACCAATAAGTCGAAAAGCGTACAAAACAAATATTGGAGATTTCTCAAGGTGAATGAAGTAGATGGATCGAACCGAAGTTTACGAGAGTATAAAAATCGTGTTTTTTTTTAAACCTAATTCGATACAGTTATATGTGTTTTTCAATTTTCTATAATCAACAGTTTTCATCGTTGGTTTCTTCATACATAACGATGGTTCTTTTTCTCAAATCTAAGTTATTTCTTGACTATATGATATTCCAAGGTGTTCAACTTTGTGCTACAGAACAAACGAATGTCAACGTAAAGCCTTGTCAACAATGGCCTACTATCGAGCTCTGAATGTTTCACAGACAACACTTTTCGAAAGAGCACGGGCTTATTGTCAAATTGCAAGATGATTCCGTAGAATAGTCTATTCTTCTAGATGAAGAGATAGATCATTAAAATAACAATATTTTAATAATACTCAACGGTCCTATTAAAAATTTTTATGTACCGATGATCAGCACAACATGCCGCGTGAACTCATATAGATAGTTCCTTTATGAAAGGAAAATTTTTTTGGCCTCCGGATCTCTGGAGGGGATAGGAGACTATTGTTAGAGCAAGAAGGCCTGCTATGTTTATTATTTTTTTTCAAATTTCTATTCGAAGTATCAAGGTTTGATTTATGCGGGCAAGTAAAAGAATGTATTAATGTCTTATGTTAATTTCAAAAATGAGCTTTTACATATCCGCATATTCTCTCCAGCGATCCAGAGGCAAAAAAATTCTTTCATCAAGAAATTATTTATATAAGTTCATCAGGCATGCTATGCTGATTATTATTATATTACGATTTTTAATGGGACCTTTGAGTATTATTAAAATATCGTCAATAGACCAATCCCGTCATATAGAAAAATAAGCTATTCTAATGTACAGTTTTTGAAAAAGTTTCACATTGGTACTGACGTGTTCTCTGATGCAGAATTGAATACACTAGAATGCTAAAGAGTCAGGAAATAACCTAGACCTAAGAAAAGCAATCATTTTCATGTATGAAGAAAGCAATAATGTAATCTATTGATTATAGAAAATGGAAGTACATCGTTAGTTAGGGATCACAATGTCTATGAGTACCATATATATTCTTAAAGGACTCCAATTAGTATATGAACATTCGGCACATCAAAATTTTGAGAACAAAGGTTTATATCTTATACACTATATCATGCGTCGGAAATTACTTTATAAAATCATATATATTGTATTCTGGTCCTAGATATGCCATTAGATCTGGCTACATCCTTTAATTATCTATCATAAAAAGACAGATTATTATTTTGAACAAGTTTCATATGTTTCCTGTCATTTAGAATAAAGAAAATATTGAATGCTTCAATAATCTTAAATAATAGAGGAAGAATAGCAAATGTGAAATGATGGTAAATTTGTGATTGCATCCCTTGTTAATTTATCTTATCATTTGGAAATATTTTCTTTTCCAACTAAAGTCGACATTAATGCACAGATAAGTACATTGAAACAACATATATATATATATTCATTTTTCATCGATTAGAATTATTTAATCTAGTTTTTTAAACTTTTCTCATCAATTTCATTTCTTTGTTAATGAAACGTAGCAAAATTTTGTTCTACTATCTCGACACTACTATATTTTTATAAATCTTTGATGACAAGTTTTTGTTTTTCTTATTTTCTATGAAAATATTGATTAAATTAAATTGTTTTTTTTTTTCATTTTGTCATAACCTAATATTGATTTATTGAAGTTTATATGCAAGAATATTATTATCATCAGTCAATAAAAAAATAGAAAAAAAAAAGTTCAAATTCTATAAGATCATCGTGTTCTTAAAGTCATTCAGGACGTAAATTTTTTTGACAACAATAAATATATATATATATATAATGTATGTGTAAACCTATAAATAGAAAACCTTCTTAATCCTTTACTTTATCATAGAATGAACATTTAGACTTTGAAAAAAATTAGAATTACAAAAGAAAAAGACATCGTTTGACTTTTTAAAATAAAAGAAAAATTAATTATGTTATCTTTCCTATTAAAATATATAATTTGGTTAATAACTCTCACAACCATATAATTATGTTAAACTGGATCAACAACTTCAAGAGAAATAAATCAACGTAGACTATCTTTGACTAGTGATTAAACTAATTGATATTCATAAATAGACAAAACATTGTTATAATGAAAAATGAATTCATTAAGATAATTAAATAGTTACATTTCTAAATAATGAGGCCACTAAACTAACAATGACATTTGTATTTAACTTTTAAAGGTTTACAAAATAAAGAACTTGGTTGAACAACGAATGAAAAATCAACACAACAAGATTCTATTGTGCACATACTGGTTTTCAAATAAAATTTTTCCTAATAGAAATTCTCATATGATATTTTGTTTTTATGTCTATTTAGAGAAGAAGAAAAAAAAATCTTTTGCATGTAGACATTGTTGAAGAATCACTTTTTTTTTCTTTACGGTAGACAACGTCTATTTTTATATTGACTTCAATCATATTAAAACTGACAATAGAAGATTTCAAGCGATGATCATCATTCATGTTCGGTTTTCTTTTTTGATAATAGACAGTCGTTTTCAATACATAAAATATTTTAGAGACTAATTATCGCCGGAGAAAATAAAATTAAAATACTATCTTTAGAAATATTATTATCTTCTTTTCAGTGCTCTTTTTATCGATCGAAGAACTAGTTCTTTCAAATGGAACTCGTTATTCACAAAAAAAGAAGAAGATTGGTGACCTTTGATTCTCTATTATATAATATGCATTTTCTAATAGTGACCTTGTTAAATCGATCATTTATTTATATGCGGTGTTCCTTTAGAAAAAGCTCGCTGTGACACTATTTAAACCATTCTACTTCAAAGATGATATATAAGAACCTGTAACTGATTGTCAAGTAACTATACTTGGAGTAACTTTCTTTTTCTCCGTACTGATTGGAGACATTTACTTTAATATGTCTTGTCTGTCTAATCTTTAGAGATTAAGTAATAAGATGTTACAGTGATGCGCTTGTTTGAAAGATGTTCTCTTTTTATGACAGAATCTATAAACCACATGTCATCTAATTAAGCTTGACAAAAAAACGATTATTTGATATGATGAATAACAAATAAGTTGATTAAATACAGACTGATACAAACAAAACACTTTGGTTATAATCGATTCATTTTCTTTAAAAAATATTAAACTAGAACATATTAATTAAAATTATCGAGACATATATTCATTAATAGACTAGTTTCTTAATTATTTGATCTCAATGTTGTTGTTTTCTTATTGTGTTATAATAAAATATAGGTAAATGAGCGGAAACTCTTTGAATTCTATGGAACATTGAAGCTATTGTAAAATAATACTTAGAAAATATAATAGACTATTCATGTTAGAGAGACTATAAGCAGAAAGAAGAATATTTATTTATAGATTACATGCAATATAATAGGATTGTATTCCTATTACATTAGTGTCCTTAACACAATAACAATAAAAAAAAAAGGAAACAAAATGAGAAGGAATATATTCTATTATAATAATACCTAGTCAATTTGGAAAAGTATTCATTTTTCGTCAGTCATAGTTAGATTAATGTTGATACTTATGTTTAATGAATTGTATTGATATATATATAATCCTTCATGTTACCTATCTTGAGACAAATAGATATTTTCTAGAATTTCTTCTTCTTCTTCTTCTTGAAAACATGAGATTTTCAAGAACGTCGACAGTAACTAACACTTGAAAGCAATTATAGAAGAACGACAGTTACAAAATTCTAATAAGCAGGTTATTAGTATATGTGTGTAACACTTAGCAGGCATAAATCTGTATAGACAACAAGTGTAGAAGTAGTTGATACTTAGTTCAGTTGTACTTATTTAGGTAGAAGTATCATCTAATGGAGTTCTTTTCTCTTTTCATTTGTTTTCTTTGGTTCTTTGCTGTTCACTGAGCGTGAGAATGAGTGAATGTCATGGCATCGACTTTCAAATAGCTACGATTGATTCTATCAAACATACAGGTTCTTTATATGTAGAACAGGCGACATAACAGTCGACGACAGCATTCCCTTATTTTTTTTTTCTTCTCCTTTTCTTCTTCCGTCTTGGTCTTTTGTCTATCGAAACAACTAGTGTATATAGAACGAAGAGAAGACAAGATCGATGAATAGACACAATGATAATCATGCTGCAAAAATCTTCTCTCTCTCTCTCTGCTCTCATTCTCCCCTAAGAGACTTCACAAGAATACTGTTCGTCATTTCTCATTGATTACGATTACAAGACATTCATATATTGAAAAAAAATCATAGAAAAAAAAAACAAATTGATTTTTTTTTTTTTTTTTTCAAATATTTTTTCAATTGAAGTAAGTATTTCTAAAGTTTGTCAATCCTAAATGAATTTCAATTGACAATTAATTTCATTTGTAAAGTTAAATTTTACCAGGTATGATATTGTTTTTATTTTTTTGTTGTTTGGCATTTATATTATTATTATGATTCTCTGTTCTTGTTCGTGTGGTTTGAAATGATACCATATCAGAATAATAATGTAAAGAGAAAAAAAAAAAAGAAAGAGAAAGAAAAGCTTGAGAAATATTATTGAAGCGAGTTATTATTGTATGAATGGCATCTTCTGCGAAGCATCATTTTCTCAGATCCAGATTTCTATTATCATTATTGATTGACCTCAATGAATTTCTAAGCATGTTCTCGTGCTTTTGTCTTTTCCCAACTGTCTTTGACTACATGATTAATAGAGTACAAGGGAATGTTCATACAGATCATAAATATTAAAAGAAATTTAATTATATTGAATTATAATATGAAATTTTACATTGTAATAATTAAATACAAACTAGTTCTGATGTTTTGTTTTTTTTGACAGGAAAAGAAAAATATGTTTTTTTTTTTTGTTTTAATGTCTCTCGGCACGGTTTCTAACTAATAGCAATATAAACTTGTGACAATCTCATCCGTTATTTTATGTCACTTATTCGGTTTTTTTTTTTTTCATCATATTCTTTTTTTCTCAAGTGGTCAATTACGAAATATAGAAACGATAGAAAGACGACTTGATAAGTATGTGTTAAACTGTCAAACCTAATATAGTTAGAAGAGCATCATATGTAACAAAGTAATAATGTCAAGTCTTGACATCACACATTTAGATTTTTTTGTTTTGTTTCTTTCAACAATCCGTTATTCTTAATTCCATTAGAGAATATCTTCTAACTTATTTTATCTTAACGTTTGAAGATAAATCAAATCATCGTTCATTCTTTTGAAAAATCTTGCATTTTCTTATATTAATTACATATAAGACACCGAATATTTGTTTGTTCTCTCTTTTTTTGGTTCCTCGTTATAATTATTATTATAAACTTTTTGAACTATGATAAAACTTGATAATATTTTGTTCATTTTTAGAGTAAATATATATATATATATAAAATAAAGTTTATTTCACATGAATTTGATAAACGATAACAATTATTTAACGAAACAACAAATATTACGTGGATAATGAAACAATAAGATTTTTTGTTTCTCTCGCATATATATTAAATCAAGTTAAAATCATTAACAATTTATATATTATAATAATTATTATATTTTTAAAAGTAATTTCTATTTTTAGTTTATTTTTTCTTTTGTTTTAATTTCAGAATATATTCTAGTATAATTATTTTAAATAGAGAAAATGTAGAAAATAAGAACGTTATTATAATTAATAAATAAAGTTTGTTCTTTTTTTTAATCTTTCATTTAGTTTTTGCTAATGGATTCTGATTCTTCAATATTTGATGAAACAATATCTGATATAAGTCTATTACATTTATCACATTCAAATATATTAATTTTTAATTTTTCATCATCATCATCATCAATATTTGAAAATGATACAATAATAACATCATATGATATTTATCGACATTTAACTGAAATAATTGTTTATAAATACATATGTTTAACAATATTTGTTATTGGTGTTATTGGAAATTTACTTAGTGTATTAGTATTTAGTCGAGCATCATTACGACATCGTTCATGTGCAATATATTTTTTAGCATTAGCTATAACTGATATAGCATCATTATTTGCTTCATTTATTGATACAGTACTTCCATCATATAATAATGTTTCATTAACAATTAAATATTTATTTATATGTAAATTAAATCCATTAATGGTTTATTTTACAACAGATCTCTCAAATTTTTTATTAGCTATTGCATCAATTGATCGTGCTGTATCAATACAATGTCCATTAAAATCGAAACAATTTTGTCGAGCACGTATTGCTATTTATATTATTATAATTATATCATTTGCATTACTTATTATAAATAGTCATATATTTTGGGGTTTTGAAATAATTGATGAACAATCTCAAAAAATTTGTTTACCATCAAAAATAAAAATTGTTTATTATAATGAACCTAATTCATTAACTTATGATCGTTTTTATGCTATATTTGATTCATTAGATATGTTATTTGCTGTTCTTATTCCATTTATTGTTATGTTAATATGTAATATAATTATATTAATACGTGTTATAACATCAAGACGTTCAATATCAACAGTTTTATCAACAACCGTACAATCAAAAAAATCACGTAAAAGACATGAAAAAGAAAGACAATTAACTGTTATGCTACTTGGAAGTGCAGCTGGTGCGTTTAAATATTATTTAATTAATAATATTAGAAAAAAAGAGAGAGAAAGAGAAAAAGAAAGAGAAAGAATATTTGATGTTATTTATTTATTTATTTTTTCTTTTCGTTCTTTTAGCTTTTTTAGTGTTTACATTACCAACAGAAATAAATGATACAGTACGTGCTTTCCGTCCATCAAATTTATCTCAACCAAAAGGTGCCATGGCATTAATGACAGCTGTATTTATTGCTATGGAACAATTAAATCATGCAATTCATTTTTATATTTATACATTAACTGGTCGAGTTTTTCGAAATGAATTAATACAATTATTTACTTTTTCCAAATATACTTCATTAACACAACAAAAATCATCATCATCATTAAGACGAATGACTAATGATCATCAACTTAATAGTTTATTAAAACAAAAAACTAATCATGATGATACATAAAAAAAAAAAAACTTTTTTTTTTGTTCTTCTGTTATTAAATTAATCGTTTGCTTGTTTTGTTTTTGTATTTTTTTTTGTTCATTTATAATTGCCACCACCATTGACCAGTTTGTATTGATAAGGAAAGATTTTCAGGTAAATGCATTATAGTTGTTAATTCATTAATCATATTTGAAAAAAGATCATATGCACCTAATGGTTGCATTAATATCCACCATGGATGTAATAATAATGTTAATGGATAAGCAAATATAATTAGAAATATCAATGATAATATGCGAATTATTATATTAGCCATTTTTTTTCTCGTCTATTGCGCCAAAAAAAGAACACACAAAACTAACAAATCAAATATGAAAAAAAAAAGTCTTTTTCAAATATAGATCGATCCTATCTCTAGAGTATATGAATAATTAACGATGTAAATTCATAGATGTAAAATCTCAAAGTTTTGTACTCGATTTTTAAAATTCGCTCTGTTTTTTGATTTTATTAATCGGTGCCAATATCTTGTTTTTTTTTACGTGATATTCACTTTTATAAAGAGTTGATTCATTTCGAGAGTACAATTCATCGATTGTGTCACATATAGAATATCGTGACTTGTCTATTCTCAATATTACCAATACATTATTGCTTTTCGTAAAGGAATACAAACGGAATCTACATAAAAAACTCTTAAAGCAGACACTTCTCTGCCTCATTCATCGTTATAAGTTTTATTTTTACAAGTATAGAATTAATTATAAACTAATCAACAATGTAAAAGTCTTTAGAAACATGTCGATACTTATTTTTTTTTTAACAAGAAAATATTGGATAATGCAAGAGTAAAATGTAGAGAGTACATATAGTGAAGTAAAGATTCTTTTTTATCTAATGAATTTATGACGTATGAGAGTACTCTTTAAACTCATCTCAAACTATCTTTCTAGCTCTTGAAAACAGTTATTTGACGATTAATATTTATACAAGACGTAAACAAAATATATGATTTCGAGAAAGAAAAAATAAATGAGTCGGCTTTAACTATCGAATATTTTGAATAATTATCATTTACTCTACAAACGATTTCTTGATCCAATGTTTGTTTTTTAATTCATAATTTTCAAGAAATTTATATTTTTAACAGAAAAAATGTAATCATAAACAGAGCTTTTAATCGATAATATAAATAGAACATAACTATAATGAGTTTATTAGTACATACGATGTCGAAAACTCTCCAATGAAAAATACAGAAAAATTATGTTGCAATGACATTTTGATTGTACTTTCGTATTGAAATTTTATTATGATAAATCAAAATTAAAAACTTTTAACTATATTAAACAATTTTAATTTCTAAACTTTATGCATTCAAACATAAAAAAAGTTCGATTAGATCAGATGTTTGAATGTTAAAAAAATGTGTCTTGATATTTTTTTCCACAAAACTTTTCTTATTAGTTTCAAAAGTTAGTCTTCACAATGGATTGAAGTTTAAGAGTCTTCTCTATGACGAAGAAGCCTAATCTTCGTATGTACTAAGGTTAATTCTATTGACACTGAAGAATATTGTTTTTTTGTTAGTCAAACTTAATAAGACGTAAGTAGTGAAGTTCTGTTAGCATGCGAATATTCAAAACTCAGTTTGGTAGATAGAACTGAACAATTTGAATCTTGAGAAAAATTTCTTTTTTTGTTTCTCTATGTACTTTATTTTTGCCATTTCATTTAGTTGTATCTTAAATAAACTCATTTAAAGCTATAATATAGATGATACCTCCTAAAGAGACTCCACAAATGATGAATTAAAGAAAAATGATTACATGAATAAATATAATTGATTAATATTAAAAAAACAATAGATAATTAAATCGGAAGAAATAGTTATGAATAGGTCAAACGATTATTTATTTATCAAAAATATATTTGTCAATAAGATAAAATTCTTGATGCAACTCTTATATTCATTATTTAAATATAATTAAATAATTTTTGATCAAAATTTATTTATGCATTTTTGAATATTTCAATATGAATTAAATATTTCATGTAATACAATATATTAACATAAATAGAGAATTAATTTACCTTTTATTTGTCTCTCATACATCGAGATATATATGCTTATGGTTAATATCAGCTTAGCTTTTAATCAATTAAATATTGATAACGATAAGAAGAACAAAACTCATTATTTAACAAAATTGTTGTTTCAATCTATTTTAAAAAAGTTTCTTTTTTATATTTTATTCATCTTAAATATGATGTTGTTACAAGATGAAAAATTTCAATAATAAAAATGAAAAACGGTTATTTTTATTTTTTGTTTATTTGAGTGGAATAAAACGAGATGAATGTGTTGCACCA